GCCAAGATCGTCACCGAGGCGGCCAAAATGGCCCCGGGACAGCAGCAGGTGGCCCGAGGTGGGCCCACGAAGCCTCCAAGACGGCCCCCGGAGGTCTCCAAGAGGTCCTCCTGGGAGGCCCGAAGGGAAGCCCAGGATCTTCAGGATCTTCTTCCGCTCGGGTTCTCCGACAGCCCAAGACGGCCCAAGCAGCCGCCCAGATCGTCCATGGGGCTTCCAAGATGTAGGGTCACCCCTGCCTTTGAGGGCACGCCTATGTAACCAAACGTTTCGACAAAGCGTGGCAAAATTTGGCCACGCTATTGGACCGCGAGTTCCCCCCGGCCGGTGTGGAAACCCTTTTGGGGACACGTGGGGGAGAGAAAGGAGGATGAGGAGAGGGAAGAAAAACGAGGAGGTGGAGCCTCTTGGGGCACTCGTGTGGCCCCCTGGGAGCTCCCCGAGGGCCTCTTGGAGACTTCTTGGGGGGCCTGTGGGCCTCTGAGGGGCCTCGTGGGGCGTCTTGGAGCCTCGTTAGCTGTCTTAGGGCATTCGTGGCCCGCCAGAAGCCGTCGGAGGCCGTCTTGGGTGCCTCCCTGCGCCGTCCTGCGGCCCTCTTGGGGCCCTTCGGGGTCGTCTCGGAGGCCATCTTTGAAGGGGCCCTGGGACACACAAATGAATACACACAAATAAACATGTTCCCCATATTTTCCAAAATGTTCTGGGTTTCTGTCGTCCCCCCCACTTCCCACAGTTACCCATATTTTCGGAGGAAATGACGATTGATTGTGTCTGTGTGTTTCTTTCCCTCCTGAATCTTGGGCGTCTTGGATGCCGCCTGGGCCGCCTCGGGGCCCTGTGGGGGCCGTGTGGGGGGCCTCTTGCCCAGCTTGCGGCCACGCAGGCGACTCCAAAAGTGCAGGGTGCGGCGGTGAGTCGCCGCGGGCGTCTTCGATAATCAGCACTCGGAGATGCGTGAACACGATTCGCATCACCCGTCATCCGTCAACACTAGCGCCAGATCGTGAGAGTCACGATGCTATCGATCAGTGGCCACAGTGCGAACACTATCCCCCATCCCCCTTAGAAATCGTGGGGGGCTACCAAATCGAATAATCAAGACGTGCCGTCCGATGACTACGATTGAGACTGCAACTCCGAAGAGGACGAAGGAAAAAAAAAATGCGGCAGCGGCGGCGGAGTCATGAGCGAGAGAGCTGGCGAGAGATGCTGCCCTCGCCGAAGCAGCGCGCAGCTTGTGCGTGAAAGTGGCAGTTGCTCATCGAACATGTGGCCGCCCAAGAGAAGGCTACGTGAGCGACGAAACAACAACGGGTCTTACGCGAGGTGCCATAGCGACCTTACACGGTGGCTTACGCGGGCCACCAACGCGGCACGCCACACTGGAAATGTGGCCGCTTCCGCGCGACCTTACCCGGGCAGCTCACGCGCCAATGTCGGCCGAGGCGACCCCAAGTTTTGCGTCGCCCACATGGTGCTTCCACTGCAACACCACGCACGGATGTTATGATGTTCCGGCCGCGCGCGGCCAACGTGATTTGCTTTCCCTCGTCTAATCGTCGGGGGCAGGACCGCGCGCGAGCGCCTTCCGTTTGCTAGGTGGGAACGCGTTCGAGTTCCAATATCAAGCTGGGAAACCACTGCTTCGTATGACATCGGAGCAGGGCTGCTTAGGGGCGGGGCCCGCCGACTCGCTGGACGACCTGGCTAATGTGACCTCCTCCCTACGCCTGGCTCTCCTGGTCCTCCTCCTCCTCCTCCTCCTCCTCCTCCTCCTCCTCCCCCTCCTCCTCCTCCCTCCCATCATGGCCTTCTCCGACCTCATGCTCCTGTTCCCTCCTGTCTCCCTGCGCCTGCCTCTCCCGCCCTGCCTGTCGCCGAGCCCAGGACCAGGACAACCTCGGACCAGAACACACAGTGGGTCTCTGAGATCCGGCGGCACTGCAGACTGCCTCGGGCGCCGTGGCCGCTCGAAAGCGGCCCGGGAAACTCTGAAAACGGTTCTGAACGCTCTGGGACGATTCACCCTGGTCCTGAACCCGCCCGACCTCCACTGTGGACGCCCGGAATGGGTACGGAAAAATGGGTACGATGCCCAACCACAAGTGTTGCCCAAAACCGACAGCAGCCGCTAATGGGCAGGCGGCCTTCTGCATCAGATGGACAACGTCCGCGGCGGCACGGACAACGAGCGCAGTTCAGAATGGGCAAGCAATGCTGTCGGTCTTCGTACGCATTCTTTCCGCACCCATGTCGATCGTGCCGACCCCTCCACATCCGACTCTTCCTGCTGCGCCGCCCCCTGCCCGGAACGCGTTCCAGCGCGCTCCCCAGCGCATCGGCTGGCCCCAGAGTCTGCAGCGTGGTGGCGGCAATGGCGTCCATGTCCTGGTCGTGCAGCACCAGCAAGATACTCGGGGTGGAGGGGAGGGGAGGAGGGTGAGAGATGCGACGGGGGGGGACGGAAAGGGAAAGGGAAAAGGAGGGAGGCGACGGAGGAGGGGCAGAAGTGGAGGAGGGGAGGGAAGGATAGGGGGGAAGGGCTATGCTCCTCCATCGCATACTTCCCCTTCTCGGATGGCGACCGCGACCGCGAGAAGCAGCGTTCCCACGCGAGCAACCCCAGCAGCGTCTGCCACGTCCACGAACGGTGGGGGCAATGTCGGAGAGGAAGAGGGGACAAATGAGGGGAGAAGGGAGGGTGACGATGAGAAGCTGGATGGCACGAGCAGGAGAAAGCCAGGGACTGTAAATCAGAGAGGGAGGGGAACAAGTGAACGAGGAACAGGAGGCGCAGGGGGGAGAGAAGCATGATGGTGAGGACGATCGGGAGGAGTCTGGGAAACACATAGAGAAACGGGCAAATTGCGGGCGTTTGCAAAAATTGATTAAGAATTGGAGCCCAGGCGTCTGGAATGTGATGAGTTATGGGACTGGAGCGGTTTCCCTGATAGCGCGCGGGCATATAGGACGGAGCAGGATGCCTCGACTGCCGTATCACCGACTCGGGTTGGCAGTGCACCGCTTGAGCAGATACGGCCACGCATCGCGATCGTACCGATGATCTTACCTTTCCCTGCATGCTATCTTCAAAGGAGGTCGCCCGAAAGAGATCACTGCCAGTTCTTTTCCCCTAAGACGCGCGTGAAGCCGCAGTGCTACAAACATGGTGCGCGCTGACGACCATCTCATATCAAGAAGATCAAGATGAAAAAAAGTGTCGGTCGTGATTGAACGGTCGCGGATGCGAATGAGTTCACGAGAAGGCATGTCGTCATGAACTGAGAAACGGCTTGTGCGGGGGCACTTAGCAACACGGTGCAGCCTGTCCTAGGAGTAACACATGTATCCAACTTCTGTAAAAAATGTGACTGCGCTGGGCAACTGGGTAGCGAAGCAGATCCTCGCGAGAGCATTGACAGAAGTGAACATGCATGTCTGCACTCGACCTCTGCCAAGCTCAGCTAACTTATACACGGCGGCCACTCCTGTATAGGGGTCGAACCCGGAACTTGCCGCGCTGTGGATCCTTACCCTCCACCTTCAAACTCTGACAACCTGGCATCACTGCCAACAGCATTTCTCTGTCACTACTCCCCTTGATGTCGGTTCTGATGTCAAGTGTGTCGCACCCGTATATGTTGCAAATCGTGCATTTAATACTGAACTGGTATCTCCAACTGATGTGTCCGAGTAGTGAGCAATCGGTAGGTTTCTGTAGATCATTGCTGCATGTCGACTTGTACACTTATCCCGGGCAGATACTCGAAGATACCTCGACCAATCTGCCTCCAGCTTGCTTTAGCATTAGCTGCTTCAGAGAACGTGTAAGGTAAGTAGCGGCCCCCATGTTCAAGTCGTGCAGCGTCAGACCGGCGGGGAGACAATCCTCAAAGCTGCATCCGAGGGCCGTACCTGCAGCCGATGTGATCTGCAGCGCGTGACACAGGTGCACGGCTGCTGACTCGTCTTTGAGCGGGTAGCCGCGTTGTAGAAGGTCTAGAAGGTCTGCACCTCGGACACCACATCCCTTCTCATCATCCTCGGAATCTCCTGTCAGTTCCCTGTATGCTAAACAATGGATGTCGACGTTCTCAATCGGCGATAGTCTTCTATGGTTCGCTCAAGACTTCCCGCGAAGTGGCATTCAGTCGTCTACACTGTATGTGGATCGCTTCCTGGGCTCGGTGGTATGCGCGAATCGAATACGCAGGCGCGCCTCCGAGGCCGACAAACATGTCGGCCACCATCTTCGACGCATTCACTGCGGGAGCTGCTCGAGCTCGCAATGTTACATTGGCCGCAATGGCATATGGACTCGCCCTGGTCCAGTTTCACGTGGCCTTTGCCGGTCTTGGCGCAGCAAAACGAACTGTTGGTATACCTGTTCATGGATGCAGTGCAAGGACCAAGAGACCATTGCTGCCAAGTCGACGTGGGCGTCAATGCGCGATGCCGTGCCAGCCATGTTGACAGCGCTACCGCATTCTGCTGTGGGGAGGTCCTGCGGTGCCTCCAGCCCCTCATCGTTGACCGTGGGCTTGAATCCAAAAGACCGGGCGCATGTGCGCAATTTTTTTTTTAAGACTGCTTCTGGGGCATCTTCCCGTCCCTTCACACAGCTGATTGGGCGTCGCGGGCGGCGCATTGCGCGCGTCTTGCAGTGGCCCTTGCACGCCCTGCCCTTGCACGCCCTGCACCCGGCGCGGGCGTCGCGGATCTCTCGCGCGCGAGCAAGGCAGTCGGCACCTCTTGTCGCTGAAGTTCGAATCGCCTTCCAGTGCCGTCGCGGGTCGCTCGTTGCACGCCCCCGCAGCGCCGCCATTCGGCGTCGGACCTTTGCGGCCTATCACGTCGGCGTCGTCGCGACCCATCAGTGGCAGGAAGTGGCATCAGTCATGTCGCGCCCTAATTATCGCGTCGGCCTCGTCGTCGCCGCAGCAGCACTGGCTGCCGCGCGTCGCGGCGGTCGGCGCCAATGTCACGGCGACGTGCAGGGCCTAGCTCTTCCTGCGCAGGGGCATGGCGTCTGGCGTTGAAGCACCGTCTGGCACGCGGCCGTGCTCGTCATCAACGCGCATGTGGCCAGGCTCTGTGCTGGCACCCAGCTCTGCTTCGAGGGCGCGCTCGCTCTGGGCGCCCCAGGGGGCAGCGCGGCCGCAAGGGTCGCACCGACCTCGCCGGAAGCATCCACGAAGGAGCGGCAGGCGAAGACGGCCTGCCCCATGCCTGCAGATCCCAAGCAGTGGTCATCCGCGTGCTACCCTGGGACGGCTGCTAAGCCCAGCGGAGCGTCGGTGGCCTCGCCCACGTCCTTCGCGCAATGGACGGCAACAGGGGTGGACCTAAACGGTGTTTTGGCAATTTCGTGGGCCGTCTTCGTTTTGATTTCGTTTCGCGGTTGAGGCGGACTGAAGACAGAGCGAGGGAAAACGAAGACGAAACGAGAACGAACAGCACCGTTCAGGTTCAGCCCTGGGCGGCAGGGTGCTGGTCGCCGCCGCAGGTGTGGCACGTCACCGCCTGGCCGCCCCTGCGCGGGGGATCTTCCCGCCCCCCCCCCCTCCTCCCTCCTCCCGCGGCGCTGATGTCTCTCTTCGCACGGCGCAGCTATCTCTCCCTCCTTCATTATGATTCCTCTCCTCTCCTCCTTTGCGCCAATACCTCTCGCCTGACAGTTTTCGGGACGAGAGCGGAAGCAGCTCAGCGTCCATGCTCTCGGGCTTCTCGTGTGCAGCCTGTGCCAGTCCTTTTGGCCGCTGCGCTCAAGCTAACTTGCAACGAGCTAAGTATAGTCAAAAAAGCCTCCCGCGGCGCGGCGCCCTCGTCGGGGATCTTCTGACCCGAGTCAATCCAGACCCGGGTCAGCCAGGCCTTGCAGAATCCTGCAGGATCCTGCACCCAAAGCCGGGTCAATGCGAAGGATCCTGCAAGATCCTGCAGGATCCTGCACCCAAACCCGGGTCAATGCGACCCTGGCCATGCAGGATCCTGCAAAATCTGGCGCTTTGGCTGACCCCCGTTTGCATTGACCCCCGTCTCAAGGCCCCCGACCTCGGTCCTCGCCGATTCCCCCGGGGGCGCGCTGCCGCTCCCGTGGCCGGGAAAGGGCCTGCAGGAGTGCTCTCCACCGCCCCCCTCGCGCGTAGGCCCCGCCGTCCTGCACACCTGCCTCCAGCCTGAAGTCGGGCGTGTCCCCCTACAGGGGGATTTTCGACGAAAGGTACAACATACTCCAAACATACGCCAAAATGGTTTTTTTTTAATAATAAAAAAAAAAAAAAAAAAAAAAAGTCCCCCGACTATTTTTGTGACTATTTTTGAGTTTCCCCCCTGCAGGGAGACAGGCCCGACTTAGCTCCAGCCCCCTGCGGCGCACCTCTTCCCGCGAGCGCGCTCCGGGCGCCCCATCGGGCAACACGGGGAGAAGACGCGGGGAACGGCAGCAGCAGGGGGAGGATCGAGGGAGGCAAGAGTCGGCGGTGGACATACCTCCCTTTAATAAACCTCCCTTTAGTGAAAACGGCCTGGGGCCGAAACCGACGGACCTGGACCCGCAAAAATGACGGCCGCGACGCCCTTTCGCGAACCGAAAACGGCCAATTCCTTAATCGACGTGTCAAGGTAGGAGGTCTGTCCACCTCCGAAAAAGAGCATGCACAGAAACTGCCAGAGGTCCGCGCGGACTTCTTGGATCTGCGCACGACCCCCCTCCCTGGCAGCGCGCGGAGCGCACCAGGGCTGGCGATGCGATGCGATGCGACCACCGTTGCGGACAGCGTCCGGGCCTAGAGCAGACCAGGTGGGTGAGGTCATGGCCCCTAGGATCTGAGGTGTCTGGATGCATGCAATGCGAGACATGCAACAAGTTAGGAGGAGAAGGGGAGGAGGAGGAAAAGAAAGTCCTTGGTGTCGGTGTCGGCGCGGGTTGGGTGAGACGTCTCGACGTTCGCAGAAATTTTTGTGTCATTGGTCTGAGTCCCGGGTGCTGGTCGACGTGAGGTCGGTGAAGTGGTGCTCGAGCGTCTATGTGATGTCGTTCGGTTGTCCTTTCGAATGGGCGCCGAGGCGCCGCTGGAGGGGCCCAGCGCGGATCTAATAAATCCGCGCGGAGCGCCGAAAGTTTCTGTGCATGGCGTTTTCTCTTCCTCGAGGTGAGGGGGGAGGGAGAAGGGGAGACGAGGAGGAACTGCAGGAGAGCCCAGAATCGAATCGATAAGTCGGATCGGCGATCGAAATGAATCAAGTCGGCGGAAATCGAGAGCCGAGTCGGAATAGTCGGAACGGCGGACACAGGCAGAGCAGCTCGTCTCCATTGAGAAATCGGAGCCCAAATCGGAATCCGGCGTCGGATCGAATCGGATCGGAGGAATCGAAACGAGCCCTGGAACTGGTGAGGCACAGGAGAAGACTGAAGCGGGCGCCTCCGGAGGTGGTCGAGGTCCGTCAGGTAGTACGGGGACAGGGGCCGCGCCGCCGCCACGCACGTGAGGAGCTCCTCCCCGAGCAGGACCAGGGGGGGAGGGGAAGAGGGAGGACGAGGAGAGCTGCAGGAAGGGAGCGAGGGAGCGCGGGAGAGCGGGAGCTGGAGGGAGGGACTGGGGCATTTGATCGGGCACGGCGTGCAGGGGAACGGGTGCTGATCCAGGCCTCGGACATCCAACACCTCACGCGAACGTGCTGGGACCCCTTCTCGCCTTGTGCGCAACCCTTTCTAGAGCCCAAGGGAGGGAAGATGATGAGAGCTGGAGGGAGGCAGGAGGGAGGGAGGAGGGGGGGGAATCGGCCGACCCCCGCTTGCTGGGGGTAAAAAGGCGTGTAATACATGTTGCTGCCCCCCTCCCCCTTTCCCCTTCCCCTAGATCCAAAATGCAGTTTGAGGGGGAGGGTGTTACGAGGGGGGACGAGCTTCCAAACGCCCCCGGGGCCTCCTCTCCAGAACCCCAACGAGGCGCACGAGGTCCAAAACGGAGCGCCAAACCAGCGCCAAAACAATCCAAGACAGCGTCAAGATCGCCCAATGTAGCCCCACGACGACCCTAAATGGCTTCGAGACAGCCCACGAGGCGCCCAAGACGGCCCAAGAGTGCTCCCAGAGGACCGCCGAGAGGGGTCCCAGAAACGAAAATTTTGCCACTCCCATAGGAGCATGAACATTCTTAGCATGCTCGTCTTCTTCGTCCTGACACTGGCAAAGATGGCCCAAGGGGTTCCCAAGATCGTCCGAAGACGGCCAAATGAGGCCCCCAAGAGAGCCCCATGACGGCCTAAGACGGCCCCAAGCGCGGGGCCCCCCCAGACGGCCCAAGACAGCCCCAAGAGGGCCCTAAGAGGGGCCCAAGAAAGGGGATACGAACTGACAGTTCGAGCCTCTCTTCTCAAGGAGGCCCCAGGAGCCCCCCGACGCCCCCAAGGCGCCCACAAGAGGCCCCAAGAGGCCCCAAAGGGGTCCCCAAGAAGCCCCCATCAGGCCCCCAATGAGGGCCCGACTGGCCCCCCAGATGCTCTCAAGAGCCCTCCAAGAGGCCCCCGAGAGGCATTCCACGAGCCCCTCACATGCATCCAAAGAAGCTCCTGACCCTCCAGATAACTTCAAAGATCGTCGCCAGCACTGGCTCCTCATGGGGGTGGGCGGAATAGCGTAAGCCACTTGAATAACGGTAGGCAGGAGGAGGCACTAACCATGAGGCAGTGGCGTGGTGGGGGGGAGAGAGGAGGACGAGGAGGAGGAGGAGGAGGAGGAGGAGGAGGAGGAGGAGGAGGGAGGAGGAGGAGGGAGGAGGAGGAGGAGGAGGGTGGAGTAGGAGAAAGAGATAAAATCAGCGAGCAGGGGACACAGGAGAGGAGCTCCTCGCCCTCGCCGCCGATGAACTCGCCCCCCTGGATGCGCGCCCAGAGCTTGGCCTGGGCCGCGGTCGAGCGCTCGTGCAGTCGGGGAGTTGACCTAAGCAACGATAAATATACAGTCGGGGCGTTGACCTAAGGAACCCTAAATAAGGAACGAGGCCCCTTCTTTCCAGACGTTAAACTTCGATTTCCGATCGAACGCAGAAGGAAGACCTGCGGCAAGCTGTGAAACACTTCAGGAACGCGGAGCCTCTCCCCAACGAAAAAGGTTCCTTCTTCCGGGCCCCGACTGTAAGGAACGAGGCCCCTTGTTCCTTGAAGTTCAACTTCGATGTCCATCAGAGAGCCGAAAGTGAACCTAAGGCGACAGGAAAACAACGAGGTAGCACGGAGCCCCTCCCAGGCGAACAGGGCTCCTTCTGCAGCGCCCCGACGGTAGGGGGAGGAGCCAAAAGACTCCCTGTCCCGAGCTCTGCTTCTGCCTTCCGCACGGGCTCATCCAGCGGCGCGCGCAGTGAGGAGGGATGGCGGTGCACTGCACGGCCGATGGCCCCACCATGAACACAAACGTTCGGGTGGATCTCGGCGTCGGCGCCAGTGAAGCGAGGATCCCTCGGGAGGGAGGGAGGAGGTGGAGAACGAGGGAGGAGGGTGCTGAAGGAAATGAAGGAGGTTGTGGAGGGAGTGAGAAGAAGCTGTGGGATGTGTAATAGTATCAGGAGGATGAACACAAGGATGTCATCTTCTTCCTGCAACCCCTGCCGCTCACCCTCCCTCATCCCCCCCGCATCCTCCTCCTGCTCGCATGCAGTGGCGCCTCAACGAGCGACAGGAACACGTCGTTGATGGGTTGCATCTGCATCGGCTTGGCAGTGTCGCCCTCCTGCGTCAACATATGGATCGCCTCCTGGAGCAGCGAGTGCAGGAGGGAGAAACGAATGGGGGGAAGGGAGAGGAAGAGGCCGACGGAAGGCATGGGGAGAGTGAGAATAGGTGAGTACGATGCAAGACTGAGAACGGGGGAAGAGAGAGGGAGATGGAATGTGGCTAAATAACCTTACCGCGACGGTCGGATACTGGACTGGGAATGTCCTCCTGTCCCCGCCTACCTCCTCCTGCCTCCCCCTCTTGCGGCATCCGCTTGCCCCCCCCC